CGTGCCTGTCATGAACCGTCCTTGCATCCACCTGCAGCAGATGTTTCTAGTTCCTACTTTATAGATAAACTAGAGCTCAGAGGAACTGAGCACTTCCCCAAGATCAACAAGAAAATGGTGGCAGAGCTGGGGTTCCGAGCCAGGCCGTGTTGTGACAGCAGGTTGCAGTGGGTCCTCCAAGCTGAGGAGGAAGGAGTTCGGCCCTCTTTCCTTGAGTTCCCATCAGATTTCACTAGTGAACCCCATGTAGAGATAGTCTCTCCTATACCCTGTAATAGAACCCCAAACTTGGGATACCCTGAGGCTCTGTCCAAGCCCCAAGCCTGCTCTTCACTCCCTGAGGGGACTCTTGGGAGCTCTAGTTTGTGACTTTGTGGAAAGTACCTCCTCGCAAGATTGCTTTGAGGGAACAAAGGAAATAATCATCATCCCCTGTGAGCGGCTATGCTGGACCAAGTTCATATGTGCTTGGTCCCAGCATCACAGCATGGCCTTGTCATCATGATCCCAGTTCCTTGTGCCAAGGGCATCCCCATGAGTCCCATGTGCCAGACAAGCTTCATGAAGCCCATGGCTGTGGTTTCCCTGTGCTTGGTTAGCAGATCTGCAGGGCTTCAACATCAGGAGTTCAGAGACCTCCTGAAAAGATCACAGTTTTCCTGAGAAGGCAGCTAGAAGTAGTTGTGTTTGGTCTTTTCTGGGAGCAGCTGATGGGCATTCAGGATCACCTTCCTGGGCTTGCATCTCGCTCTAGAACTTGGTGTCCTCAGTAGTACAGTGTTAAAGGGGAGGCCTTGTGGGACAAGCCTGGGGGTGGGTGCTGTACTTTTCCTTGGGCAGCAGCAGCCCTTGCTGGGGAGCCATCCCTTTAATGGCCATTACTGAGCTGATACATTTCTTACTTACTCTTTTAAATAAAGAAGGTAATTCAAACCTTTCCTTTAATGAAGGACATACCCAGAGAGAGGGAGCCCTTCCTGTACCCCGACCCTAGATACAGTGCAGGAAAGAGATGAACTCTCTCTGTGACTGTCTTCTCAGCTCTGTGTCACTGTCCATCCTTAATTTTCTGACCAGTTTAAGTGTCTAATGAGGCCCCCAACTTTGTGATTATTTGGAAATACGAAATTCAGTACTGCAGAGCCCTCCTTGCCACTCTTTCGTGGATTTGAATCTCAGCTCCTCCGAGTAGATGTTCGTGGCACTTAGGACGTGACCCAAGAAGAAACTACAGCTCAGCAGGTGGCTGAGACCACAGTTAGCCACACGTTAACTTAAGTCTTTTGCTTCCAAACCCAAGGCTCTTTGACTTCCCAGCTCTTGTCAAAGTCCAGAGTTTACGTTAGGGCTCTTCCCTCTAAGGTAATGTGTAATGACATGTCTCCACCATCACAGTGTCACCCAGGATATGATTTCACTGCCCTGAAAATCCTGTGCTCTGGTACTCCCAGTGGAAGAATGGGGGTGCTGTGGGAAGAATAGGAGTGCCGTGGGAAGAATGGGGGCAGGGGTTCCTTACACAGCAGCCCGCAGCCGCCCAGCCCCACCCGTCTGCCCGCAGTGCTGGCCTACATGCAGCTGCTCGAGGACTACTCAGAGCCGCAGCCCTCCATGTTCTACCAGACTCCACAGAACGAGCACATCTACCAGCAGAAGAACAAGCTCCTCATGGAGGTCTATGGCTTCAATGATTCCTTCAGCACAGCGGACTCCATGCAAGAGCTGGCCCCGCCACCCGCCCTGCCCCCCAAGCAACGGCAGCTGGTAAGCAGCACCCTCCCAGTCTTAGGTCCCTGCACTGCCCTGAGACCGGAACATCCCATCCTAGCAGGGCTCTGCATACGAGAGAACGACCCTCCTTAGGGGCATGTTTAACCCTCTTTTGACTGTGGCAGCCCTAGGTTTGGGTGTTGGATGCGCCATCTCCTGCCCAGGTGCTTTTGTTGCCTTCTAAGATGCGACTGGGACAGAGTTGTTCACAGAGTGTTTGCTTTCTCTGCTGACAGCCTCTTGTAGTTTTTCTTCCTTCTGTGGCTCCAGCATAGACCTCCCAGAAAGGAAGGACTCAGTCAGAGCACAGGGCACAATCTGTGCGCAGCCATCTGCAGACTTGATTAACATCATGGGTCTGACTATGTGGAGTGACTTATGTCCCAGCCTGGCTGGGTATGGCCAGTGAAAACAAGCTCTGCTGAAGCGGGATAGCTCTGAACAGAGCCAGTCTGTGTTTCAGACAGGCACCTTCCTCCTTTCAAGGATGCTCCTGTGGCGAGGGCTCCCATGTGTGTAACAGAGCACAAGTCAGCTCAGAAGGCAGGCTAAGCTGTTCCACCGTGGGCGACCTGTAAGTCTCTGGAACTGGGCAGGCGGGCAGATTGAGAAAGCCTGTTGTGTGCCTCCCAACGTTTTTCTCTGTGCTACCTGCTAACAAGCCCTGGAGGTCTTAGTCAAGGTTTAGAATCAAAGCCTCTCACCAAACCACACACCACAGGAAGAGTGTACCCCAGAAGGGCCTCCTGACCTTTGCAGAGCTCCATGTGCCATTGTGCTCTTATGCCAGGTAGTGTGGCAGCATCCTAACAAGAGAGGAGACTGATGTGCATCTGAGCCATCTTGTATCCTTGCAAGAGGATGTGAAGGTGCCATTCCAAGTTTTCTGGGAGGCAGCTGCCACTGGAAGACAGATGCCCATAGGTCACTCCTTGTGGTATCTGGAGCTCAGCCTGGTGCCAGGAGTCCCTGAGCCTTCCTACACTCAGTGGTCTGAGGCTACCCAAGCAAGCTTCTCCATCTCAGGAGCCATAGCCAGCCTCTTCACAGGCTGACCCGTCCAATAGAGCAGTGGTTCTCAACCTTCCTAATGCCACAGCCCTTTAATACAGTTCCTATGGGTCACGACCCACAGGTTGAGAACTGCTGCCATAGAGGAAAGGCCGAGGCATGGGGGGTCCCGGGTCCCACAGCAGAGGTGACGGCGTTACCCCATCTCACAAACGAGAAGTCCAAGGCACTGGAGGTCTTTAAGTAACGTCCACAGCCAAACAAATGATAAAGGTGCAGATAACACCAAAGCCCAGGCAGCCTGACACCCAGTGTGAATGCTGGGAAAGCATGCGTGACCACCCAAGTCCCCTCCCCACAGAAGAGCAGCTCAGAGCCCTGAGTCTGCCCATCTGTGTGGCTCCAGCCCACCTGTTCTTCTGCCGACCAGCTTTCAGTCCAGTGGACGCAGCTGGTGTGAGTTAGTGTAGGGAGGAGATTCCCTTTCCTTCAGGTGGCTTGGACTAGGGTCTCGATGCCTCTTCAGAATGTCCCTGAGCAGAGTTAGGCAGCAGCCTGCGTGGCCTGTCCCTGCACACCTGACCATTCTCCGCTTCTCTCCCTCCTTCCCTGCCTTCTCTCTCCTCCTCTGCCCAGCAGGCCTCCTATGCTGCTTCTTCCTTCTCCTCTGTCTCCTACTGTGTCCAGCAAACTAAAGTGGCCTTCACCCCCGAGGACGGCAGTGCCACTCAGGGCCTCAGTGTGTCCGTCTCTAACTCCTTTCTCAGCCGGCATGGCAGTTTACCCGTGCCCTCGGTGAGTCACTCCCTGCCCTTCTCTTCTTGGGAACGTGGGAGCAGGATCTTTCCTGTGGAGCTTGTGTGCCTGGTATGTGTCCTGCCACCTCACACACTCGCCCTTCCGCAGACCCCTGCACACAGGTGGGAAGGGTACTCGCAGCTGGTTCTCTGGGTCTTAAGGACTGTGTGACATGTCCAGGGAGGGGGGACCAGGGGAATGTCAAAGGCCACATCTGGAGTGTCACCATTCTAGCATAAACTGGCCGAGATATAACCTTTTTATTCCAGTCTCCCACTGGGCCTTGGAGCAGCTAAGTGTTCTGTGTTTAAAAATAAATATTCCTCACATAGGAATGTAGGCCAAGGAGAGCAGGCTATACAAGGTATGTGACAGTTTGAGTGGGAGGACTGTATGAGTTAGCTTCAGCTGCATAACAGAGTACCCTGAAATTTAGTGGCTTAAATGACAATAGCTATCTCTTGTTGCTTAGGACACAGATTAGTAAGATTGTTGTGCTAATCTGGTCAAGGCATAGCTGATTTTTGACTGGACCTTAGCTAGGACAGTTGGACAG